TGAATAGTATGTTTATATATGCAGACAGATTGAGGAGGCAACGGAGAGAAAAATGGTTGTTATTCCCTTCCCTTAGTTGGGAAAGCAGACAGTTCTGTGCAGGTTCTAATGCTACTGAATTCAAACTATTAATGCACTTTAGCTTTGTAGAGGCCCAAACTAGATCCCTCTTCACGTTTCCCAATGTTTGGGAACGTGGCATGTATGAGCATGCTGAGAACTCTTTCACCAGGCCCTAGTGCCATCTGTCCTCAGCAGGCCATGCCTGTTAGTCGTTCCATGATGGTGTGTTAGAAGAAGAACTAATTTCTAGTTTCTTTGATGGTTACCTGCCCCATTATCCAGTAACTCCAGGGTCACTGTTTTTCCATTCACGGATTCAATCAAAGCTGTGACGCTGGCCCTGAGAATTGGCGAGACTCCTTGGCGAAGAGTTGCATAGACCGTTACAGGGCTGGGGAAGTTTGCTGTGTTAGTATTCACTACTGGGGTCACTGTAATTGGAGGCACTGTAGCACTTGCTGCCCGGGAGGTGACGGTCAAAGTGAGCGTTTGTGAGCTCGCTTTCAGGCTGTATTTCCAGTGGCCCACCTGACCGAAACAGATGCAGATATTTCCAGTCAGGAACAAAGACTTAGGACAAATGCCTATGCAACCAAAGCAAGTTGGGAGCATGTCTAGAAAGATGTGGGTGTCCTTGATGCTCTGTCAGTTGAGGCAAACTAGAGTGTGTTTGGACTAACTATCAAGACAAACCTGGATAGGGATAACGAGGCCCAAAAGCTGCATCCTCACTGATTACTACCTGGAGTTTTCAAGGATGGGTTTCTGAGGGACAAGAAATCATTTTCATAATCCCAAAGCCACAGGATCACTCGTCATCCCGATTGCTATGCAGTTCAATTGTTTCCCTTTTGTTTGGGGACATAAAATTACCCATTTCCTCTCTCTTGACTTAACCAGCAGGTTGACTTCAATGAATGAAGAATTGTTATTGTTTTTCCTAAAGTCAATACTCACTCTTAAAAAAAAAAAACAACCCTACAGCTATTTGTAAAAAAAAAATATCTAATCTGTAAGGAAGTGGACTTCATACCTTGGCAGTGCCTGGGACTTGGAGGTAGGCCATCTTGGTGGCTGGGTCTACAACAAAGCCACCTTGTTTCGTCCCACTGGGATCCCAGAGAAGAATTTGAGGAGCTTGTGTTGTCCAGGTGACAAGAAATAAAGTGTCCTTCCCCACTGTGCTGTCCACAATGACCGAGCCATTCATCCACTGGTCCTTCTGGAGATTGGCTCCCCTGCTCTCCAGCTGTTGAGCAGAGAGAGACTTCACATCCCAGACAATACGGCATGCATCTCACAGTCTTAGTACCAGGTCCTCATTGCTAGGAGCCAGCTAAATGGCCTGTACGCGTTCTTGAGTCCTTTGTGTGGTATTTAGGGTCATTTAAGATTCAGCTGTAAATTACTGTTCTACCTTCAAGGTCCCATACTTCTTTCTCCAACAAAAAGACTACCTCCCTCTCTGGGTTTACAAAGCCCCAAATTCACACTCTCTGCTTGTCCTTGACGTCATGACTTTCTCTCTGCTTGTCTGAGTTTTAACTAAAGCCCAGAGGAGTGTAGAACTCAAAGTGTCTAGTAGCCTTGTCTGTGATTATAAGCAGACACAAGAAGCCAAATAGTAAGAATCCCAACCTGGATGGAGCGCTGAGAGGCAGCTCCATTTCCTGATGAAAGGGCTGCGAAAGCATCAACAAGGCCGTTGTTCTGAGCCTGATCAGAAGCATACGTCTGCAAACCTCCTAAAACGCAATTATGTTATATTTCAGGAAGCAGGTATTTACAACATTGCAGCCATAGCTAAAATAGCAGGATAGATAATACAGATCAATATCAAATATATGTGCACACTAACTTAGAAGTCAATACTGATATGTGTATGTGTGTGTGTGTGTTCGTATGTTCGAGACATAGTCTCTTGAAGCTCAAGCCAGCTTCAAATTCACTATTTATCCAAGAATGACCTTTACAGCAGATTCTCCTACCCCTACCTCTCAACCACTGGGACTACAGGTCTATAACACTGCGCCCCATTGATACCGACTTTGCAATTTTAGCAATGAATAGCTTCAGAAACTATTGAATAGCTTCAGATAATTGAAGCTGCTTCAATTATCTGCACAAATCTCCAAGAGTATCTCCATCTTAAAGGCCATGTGCTTTCACATGAGAGTCTATTAAACCATAGATAGACCCCTCTGATTGGCTTACCATTATTGAAATGCAATTCTAACAAACTGGGTTTTAACTTGTATTTCAAATCCAGAGAGATACGTGTGTGACTATCAAGAATAACAGGGAGGGCTGGAGAGATGGCTCAGCGGTTAAGAGCATTGCCTGCTCTTCCAAAGCTCCTGAGTTCAATTCCCAGCAACCACATGGTGGCTCACAACCATCTGTAATGAGGTCTGGTGCCCTCTTCTGGCCTG